ATGTGGCAACGAAGACCATATGTCTCCAAAATGCCCAGACAGACTGCTACCAAAGACCCAATGGAAGAATCAGGATCAATATGTCGACTATGGGAAGAAGCTCAATCTTAATCAGATTGGAGCAACTATCCCAGCTACTGTTCCGGCTATAGTTCCTGGAGCTTCAGCATCCACAAGTGGAGCATCAAGTGTTGCGGGAAGCGTTAACACACTACAGGTAATCAAATGATGCATTTTCCTTCTGGAATGCAGCTCATGTAGATTCCAACTCAAGGTGGCGGCACTGTTACTGTCCCTTATTCTATGAATGCTAACGGTGAGATTGCGTCCAGTGGAATGCAACTCAGCCAACAAGGGTTCTGTGGTGCTCAAGTGCGCCAAGGATTCAATGCAAATCAAGCTCAAACTCCGCAAGTTGTCGACGGTACATGGCACTTGTCTCTTTTGCACCTGGTTTGACATTCGCTCCAAGTTGCTCCAACACATACACACCCTTACAATTAACAAATCGCATCTTTCTGTTTCCATCACAATGCACAATAAAAGCATTGTCAGCATCAGTATCCATAATAATACGGTATCCTGCAGCAATCATCTCGCGCATAGCAAGTACATTGGCAATTCCATCTTCATCGTGATAAACTGGAGGTGGAAATCTTCCTAGAAAACCTTCTTCGTCAAGAACTCTACTGCCCATGTTAGTGTGCATGTCAAGTTCTTTCTCAGCATGACGGAGTCCATGCATAAGCTCACCATTACAAATGGTGGTGTTTGTACAACCACTGTCCATGATGACATGATCATACAACCCAAATGGATCTCTTTCCTTTCTGTGGCTTTGAATAAACTGCAGACCTTGATCTGCTTCAGTAGCAAGATCAGGCAAATCTTCATCTTCACTAGCATAGTGCCAGTCGGCTTGAAGTTTGACATTTGTCGTACCAGCAGGACATGGAATAAGATAGACAGCATTGCCATACTCATCCTTTCCCTTGATATCATCGTGAAAGACATTTGACATATCAAAATATCCAGTTTTCACAACTTGCGGAGTTTGAGCTTGAGTTGCATTGAATCCTTGGCGCTTTTGAGCACCACAGAACCCTTGTTGGCTGAGTTGCATTCCACTGAACGCAATCTCACCGTTAGCATTCATAGAATAAGGGACAGTAACAGTGCCGCCACCTTGAGTTGGAATCTGCATGAGCTGCATTCCAGAAGGAACTTGCATCATTTGATTACCTGTAGTACCAGCAAGTTGCAAAGGTGTGTTAACGCTTCCCGCAACACTTGATGCTGCACTTGTGGATGCTGAAGCTCCAGGAACTATAGCTGGAACAGTAACTGGGACAGTTGCTCAAATCTGATTAAGATTGAACTTCTTCCCATAGTTAGGGTTAGGTAGGCTCGTGGTCTCCAGCTGCAGTCGGGTCAATAGTAACACCCATATCGTCTAGCATATCATCCGTGAGAGGAATGAACGCCCAATCACACTTAATGATCTTGACTTGAAAGCCTGCCTTGTTGTAGCGGCGGAATTTCTTATCCAATGCTTCAAATACAGGGTCAGTCTTCAGTTTCTGCACGGGAATACATGAGCAATAACGCACAGTGGTATCAATGCAGGTGAGAAACTTAGCATTCTTGATCTCCATGTGATCAATACAGACGGTAATAGATCGATTGTGCTGATATAATTCCTCTGGTGGACTGAAGAAGTCGTCGTACCTCTTCTTCGGAGTTGGTCTTGTTGACTTGCCTTTCAATGTAGAGGCGTCAGGTCCAAAGATTACTTCTTCGGCATGATTGCTCGCTTCTTTGGTGATAGGACAGCTCTTGATGAGACCAGATCGGATGGCATACTTCAGACTTTTGGTGCTTGGAGCATTGAGTATGTGCATTGCACTTCTCGCTTCCATCGCAGCCTTGACTTGTCTTGGGGTGAATCCTTCCTTGTTCTTTCGAACGGTTGCCATCTTGGAGGTCATCTCGAGTCCAGCATATCCATTCTGTTTGTTTGAAAAAAGTTCAAAATGGGGTTGATTATTTCAGTTGCTTAACTGGCGACGGTACATCGCACTTGTCTCTTTTGCACCTGGTTTGACATTTGCTCCAAGTTGCTCCAACACATACACTCCCTTACATTAAACCCTTTACGATCAAATCCGAGTTCTTCTCGGATTCTATTTTTTTTTGCAATAGAATCCAAGAAAAACTTGGATTCTAATTCGCGATCGGCAATCTGAGAGTTTGTCTGGAAAATACTGGCCGAAAACGAGTGGTTAACGGCTAATTTTGTACGCAACGGCAAAATTCCACTCCCCACGTTTTTCTCCCCACTAAACCATGTCTTCAAAATACAACCCACTTTTCCCGCTGCACACACACAACTAAACGAAATCACCACCGAATATTCAAAACGTATACGTCTTGCCCTATTCAAGCCAGAAGACATTTGAATACAACACACAAAAAGTATAAATAGTTTCATTTACAGCAGTACTGTGCTGTTGCTGCTAGTGCTATGTTTTGATGTTATCTTCCCTTTCGAGCAAAAAGGATGCCATCGTCGTCAAAAAAATTCTGATTGTTCCTTCCCATTTGCTTGTGCCTTCTCTTTGCCGCTACCAAAGCTCTCTCGTCCCATACCCACAGAACCTTAGAAAGACGAATCGTCCTCCTTGTGTATGTATGGGATTGCTCCCAAAGCCTTCCACTGCTTCTCCTTCTTTTGTGATGCCCATCCGGGTGACTTTAAATAATAAGACTTCTCTTGTACCCAAAACGCAGGCTAAACATCAGTGTTTTTGTGCGATATCGCATGTTTACACTTCATTTTGGGTGGAGAATGCATTGCGAACACTGAACAAAAAATATAGATAATGCCTTTTTTTATTTAGAGTAAAATATATTTTCTTAGACAACAAATATATAAATGTCTACTTCTTTTTCTCGCCAAAATATGGGATGTTAATTAAAAAAGTTTTCCCAAGACGTTGGCCAATTGTCAGTCACATCGCTGATCTATCATCACTTTCAAAACAGAAAGCTTAGAACCAGCTACTGCATGTCATAGAAAGCAATAATGGAACCAGAATGAAGTTCGAAGACAAGAACAATGGAAAACTATCTCCAGACAATGACTTTAGGGATTGTAATGGCTAATGGTTAATAGAAGAGTTTCATTGTGCCGATTCAACACCCAAGTCAAGAAACAGACCTTGGCATCTCAGTCCAGTCCAATTTTTTGGATAATGCTCCTTTGCAATGACTCATTGCAGATCCATGTGATAAGATGTGATCAAGTTCCATACTGCCGTTGAACATTCTACAATCAGCAAAGACCTAGGAAAGGCGAGAATTGATGGATGCCTTATCACATTTTCAACTCATGTTTGAATTCAATTTCACTTGTCATGGAATTTCGATCGATCGTCATGCTTACAATGTGCTTCCACCACATAGGTCCAATATATTGATTGTTCCCATCAACCAATACATACTGGTGAGCGATTGGGTCATGGCAGAGGCAATTCTGATGAGTAGAACTTGAATTGATGGACAAGTTGGTGAGTTCCAGCTGATGCTTGTCGTTGAATTTCGATCAATCATCAGGCTTACAATGTGCTTCCACCATATAGGTCCAATATAATGATGGTTCCAATCAATATCTATGTTATGGTGAGCGATTGGGTCATGGTCGAGGCAATTCTGATGAGTAGAACTTGAATTGATGAGCAAATTGGTGAGTTCTAGCTGATGCTTGTTGTGGAATTTCGATCGATCGCCATGCTTACAATGTGCTTCCACCACATAGGTCCAATATAATGATTGTTCCCATCAACCAATACATACTGGTGAGCGATTGGGTCATGACTGAGGCAATTCTGATGAGTAGAACTTGAATTGATGGACAAGTTGGTGAGTTCTAGCTGATGCTTGTTGCGGAGTTTCCATCGATCGTCATGCTTACGATGTGCCTCCGCTATATAGGTCCAATATGATCATTGTTCCAATCAACGAATATATATTGGTAACCGATTGGATTATGGTCAAGGCAATTCTGATGAGTAGAACTTGAATCTATGGACAAGATGGTGAGTTTCTGTTTAATCCTTCCTTGTTCTTTCGAACGGTTGCCATCTTGGAGGTCATCTCGAGTCCAGCATATCCATTCTGTTTGTTTGAAGAAAGTTCAAAATGGGGTTGATTATTTAAGTTGCTTAACTGGCGACGGT